TCTTAGTTCATGTCATTGTGTATTTCATAGTTCTAAGAAAACAGTTATTGATATAAAAAATATTTGATGACTGCCCCTTTAAGTGATGTAACTGAGAACGTGCAGGTGCTGTTTTGGCAGAGCTGCATATGGCATGGGAGCATAAAGTTTTCTTACCGTGCGTCTTCTGATTTTGTAACCCTTTTATTTCTAAGTAAAGACATCAAAACTTTAAGAAATTGTCATGTCGTGCGAGTGAAGAAATTACTGTGTCTGCAGCTCTAAGTGGTATTTGGGAAAATGAAGAAAGATTGCCACTACAATACCTATTCACAGTTGGTGAGAGCAGACAGCACAAAAAAGCTTAACTGACATTCTCCTGAGTTTACTGACATATATTGTAAAGCTTCTCTTATGTAGTAATGGAAGTAGATGACTTTCTGGGAGTCTTGTAGGCTTTGAGTACAGTAGAAAAGTTTTTCCAAAAAAGTTAAAAATACAATCCGCTAGACATTGTTTTCAAGTTTGAAGATTGTACAATAGATTTGAATATTTTTTTATTATTATTTATTGAAAAGCTTCCTGGATGGGAAGCGAAACATCTTGAAACTTGGAAACAAAGTCCAGTGGATAGTTTTTTATTTTTTTTGAATGACTATGACCTGGATGACTTATCTTCACCTGCATACTGTAGATAAGTGTAGTCTAGAACAATGTAAACATTTTGCTTTAGCTCTATGATGTTTTAGTAAAACACATCAATATTAAAGGTAAACCTACTTCATCTTTTTTAGACTAAGCAATCCTTAGGGAAGTAATATGCTACCATCTTGTGGACAGACACTGACAGTATAACCAACATATTCAGATGCTGCTGTGATCCTGCCACTTCTACCTTAGAGTCATTACTTAAAGGGATTTTAAAGTTGAAAACAGAATATTTCTATCGGCGTGTATAATTGCCAGGGAATGTGTCAAATAAATGCTTTTAAATAGTTTTCCGCCACGTCTTTGTTTTGATTGTTAACCTGCATACAACATCGATGGAAGTCCCACCTTGTCAAATGAAAAATTTGTATACTTAGCTAAATTAAATATTATAATGACAGAATACAACTAGATGCTCCTTATTTTCATCCCCTTAATAAACATAAAATGTTGACCTGAGCCAGCAAAACAAACTCTCAGCTTAAAGTTGTAGGGAAGTCTTATTTAAATTTCAAATAATTCTGGCTTAAACATGTATATAAATGTACTCTTTATCAGTCAATATAGTCCCAAAAGTTAGAAAAATTCTATTTAAAAAAAATCATGTCTTAAAATCTGTGTGGTTTTTTTTTTTTTCGTTATTTCATGCAGGCCAGTTATATGTGAGGCTGTGCACCTAAATTCGGCCAATCATATATCAATGGTCATCTGTCAATCAAATTTTTTCGGTCATAGCATTTTGATTCATATGTAGCAGCTAATATACGCAAAGGTTGAAATAAGAATCCTTCACTTTACCATTGAGTTACATCCCAGTGTTCATGGACGTCTGTGTCTTCAGCAGGTGTAGAGCAGAGATGGCAAAAGTACTCACTTTCCGTACTTGAGTAAAAGTACAGATACTTGTGTTAAAAAATACTCTGGTAAAAGTGGAAGTACTGATTAAACTTCTTTACTCAAGTAAAAGTAACAAAGTACAGGCTTGTAAATTTACTTAAAGTATAAAAGTAAAAGTAGAAACCACTTTTTTCCTGCCATTGCCTACATTTTAAATGGATGTCTGCCAATAGGACTAGATCTCCGTTGTGTTCATTTTCAATCATCTCGTCGTCCATGCTACTATGCTAACGCCACTGCCACCAAGCTGCAATGATTTGCCGCCAATGAATACCGCCGAATCTGTCGATTCATCTTGTAGTGGTGCATCAAATGCAACGTAGATTCCCATCCAATTAGATTGAATTTGGTATTGATGACGTGAAAAATAATAACGGTAACTCCATTGAAATGATTCAAAACTAAAGTAACAAGCCAATTTTTTTAAATGTAAGGAGTAGAAAGTACAGATATTTGTGTAAAAATGTAAGCAGTAGAAGTAAAAAGTTGCCATAAAAATAAGTAGTAAAGTAAAGTAAAAATATCAGAAAAATCTACTTGAGTACAGTAACGAAGTATTTGTACTTCGTTATTTCCCATCTCTGGTGTAGAGCTAACAGAACTGGCAGTGTTGCGAGGCAAGGGCTCAAACATGTACAGCTGTAAGCCTTCTACACCAAACCAAGCTTCTGCCGCCCTGGTGTCCTCTTCCACAACATCTTCGTCCCGCTTTCCTCCTCTAAATAAAAAATGTATGACGGAGGAGACTCATCCATATGACCTCCGACACAAAACTGTCCTCTTCTTGAATGTTTCAGCTGCCCATAGCATTCCTTGACAGTGTCGTTTTCCTTTTTGGCTTACAAACATGTTTTATGATGAGAAATAGCTCCTGAAACTTTAGAGGTGATAGATCTTTGTTTTGTCAAGTTACAAGAGGGAAGAGATTAAAGCAAGCTGTCTGTCCCTGCTTTAATCTGTTCAAAACAAAGGTTTATCACTTCTAAAGTTTCAAGAGTTATTTGTCATCATAAAGCATGTTTACAAGCCAAATATGAAAAAGCTGGGACCCTTTGTGTCCGGTTTAGACAGAGGGAACAAATGTTAGCAGGGACAGACTGCTATGGTCTTGGTTCTGTTAGGTTTTCTTTGAGTTTTCAGTTTCATGTTGTGTCATGTTTTTCTTTGTTTTCTAGTTTTAATGGTTTAATTTCTATCTTGTTGTGTTTTTAGATGTATTTGAGTTCTTAGGTTTTTCTTTGTTGCCATCTTGTGTTCCTCTTTTCCCTAGCTCCTTTCTAGAAGCCTCTGCTCACACCTGCTCCCAATCAGCTCGTTAGTCATCTCTTTGTTATTCAGCCATAAATACTCTGCCTGTGATGTTCCTCAGTGCTGGTTCCTCGTCTCTCCTCATCTTTCCCTGACTCCTCATACTGTACGTGTTTGCCCTAATGTCTCCATGGTTCTGGTTAGTTTAACATTCTAAGTTAGATTTTTGGATTCCTGCCTGTGTATCCTGCCTTTGTATACTGAGTACCCAAATACCTCTGCATTTGGGTACTCAAACCTCAACCAAACACTGACACAGACAGCCTGCTTTAATCTGTTCCCCCAGTTCTGATTAATCCAGGTGTGCCTGACCTGAGTAACCATTCCCACCACCATTTTTGAAAGGTTATGAGAAATTAAACAAACATTAGAAATTAAGTACTTTTATACTCTCCTAAGTTTAGAATAAGACTTACAACTTTAACAAATAGAAACAGATCTTTAGCTGGGCCTAAGATCCATTTTTTGGATAATGTTTTGCTATTATTAGCTATTAAACTTAACAATCTAAAGTAAAGTGTTGAAGTCATTATTTTTTGCATTTCCTTCAAATGTTATCTTACACATAATTAACGTCCTATCTAATGATTAAGTAGCCTAAGAAATGACACATATGCTTTGCAAGAATTGAGGGGTTTTTGTTGAGGGGAAGAAAAAAACTCACTGGTAATCCTCAGTTATGTGTATGAATTGTGGTTTAGCACAAAACCTGCGCCTCCTTGATCGCTTCGACATGGACAACTGGCTTGATCCGCTTTTCTTGTCCATTTTAGCTGAAGGACCGTGGCTTCAGTTTTCCCTGAGCAAAGTCCTCTTACAAAGTGAATTTAACACATTAAATCAACCCTCCGTTTTTCAGATACTTTTGTATGAAGACATTTGGCAGTAGCACCAATGGTAATGATACAATAATAATGTAATGATACAACAATAGGCCCGTAAGCAACATTATCTGGGTGGGCCCTATATGAAGTACAACACCCCATCCACCCCTGGGTCACCATCATGTTGAAATCTGGCATGTGTTGGGGTATAAATAAGGTCAGTCAATCAAGTATCAGGTGGGTTTAAGAGGAATTTTTCACACCATTACATCTGCAAAGAGACGTCCTCATCCACAATTGCATAGGGGGCCAATCAGGTGTCAGTGAAGGGGGCCCTAAGAGCTCGGGGGCCCCTAAGCAACTGCAGTCTCTCCTTACCGATAGTTATGCCATTGAGTAGCAGTTACCCCCCCCCAAGCACTTGTGTAGGTAGTTGTAACCGCTCGTTTTTGTGTTTTTGTTTTTCATTTAACTGTCTTTTTCTACTCAAAAGACTACCTCTAGAACATTAAAGGTGCGTCATATTGCATTCATAAAGTATTTGTAACACTCAATGGGACAGGGTTCTTGGGAGCCAATGCTCATCTATAAACTTATGAAATATGAACCTGTCAGCTAAAATAAGAGAAAATAAATTTTTTATATAATTATTTCTCATCCATTTAACTTGCTGTTACTGACAGCAAGTTAAATGGATGACAGCCTCGCGTTGCATTTGCATCTATCAACCTCTAGATGGCACTGTCTCTAAATAAAACAGCTAAACTAATGCTGATGGGGAGAACTGGGTTAGGTTTGTGGGGCAAATGACCTCATACCTTAGCATCATCTTCATCACTAGGAGATGAAGACCAAAATGAACTCATCCTTCCATTTTACTACCATTTTCTGCAGTTTGAGATAAGTGGTGCTATTATAATACAGATAACAGGTTTTAGAGTCCAGTGGCAGTAGAGGCATTATCTGAAAGGGATGTTAAAATTTAATTTAAACACATCATTTGCAAGACAACAAGAGGCAAATTCCTGGTAGATGTAACGAAAACCTATTTGTACATCTGCAATTAAGCAATTAATGCATAGATCCAAACACCCAGGCAGTCGCATCAGGACCGCAGCGTAAACCACTATGACGCACACAAAAAAATTTGGTTGGCGCACATTGCACCAAACCCCCCCGAACGGAATCCCAGGATATCCCACCCTCACCCACCCCTTGAATCGGAATAACCCTCCTTCATCTGTTCTCCTCCTCCTTTACCTCCGCCTTCCTCACCCTCCTCCTCTTCCTCACCTCCTAAACTCTGGAGCGCCGCCGATCGGTCGCCAGGATTTTCCCCTCTTGGCCAAAATGGAGGAGAAGGTTTGTCGCTAATTGAGGGAAGCGGATGTTATATGACCGGATCGGCTTCAATGAAAGTCGCCAGGATTGGCATTCGTGGATCATTTGCGACTCGAATCGGGGGGAAACAATAGGAGAATATCTAGAGCCGTTTCCGCCCAAGCGACCGCAGCCATGAGCGCAGGAGAGGGGCTAGATGAGGCTGCAAAGGACGCGGCAGACATAGCGGCGTTTTTCAAATCTGGTAAGTCGTGCAAAATAAAAAAAGGGGCGAGTCTGCCTCTGACAGACCCAGAGAAAAGCTGTAGATAAATCTGGAGATTATTATTTGCAGATGTCACAATATTCCTATATAGGAGATGCGCGCACACCGTGCGCCCTACGTGCCAGAGGGGATGCTCACAGTTTGGAGTTATTTACATCATTCCAGCCGAGCACTGATCTGTCATATTGCAGTTTTTTTTTTATGACAACAGTGCGAATATCACCCCCAGAATTTACTGCTACTAGTTAACAGAGTGGGTTGGACTAAACCTGCTACTAGGTGTGGATGGTTATGTTTCCACAATGGGGATTGTTTTGACGTAACACTCATCACGAATCCCGGAGAGATTGATCTAAAAGCAGAATTCAAGATATCTATTTGTTTCTATATCTATAAATCAGTCATCCGGATGCATTTATATAGAAAAATGTGCAAAATGCTGCAAAAAAATAAAAAAAAATAAATGAGGTGCCATGGTGTAAGTATCAGGCCTCTCTGATATACTGCCGTCATCAAATCAAATAAGAATGGGCCTGCCTACTTTATCACCTTGCTGTCAAAACAGCTTCACCTATCAGAGCATAATAGTCCACTATTATATTCCTGTAAACCATGCCTGACAAATGCATTCCTTCAACCAAAATACTTGAATTTGTGTTATTGATTGTTCATATGCTAGAAAAATACAAATAACATAGAAAGGGACAGTGATTATCATACATAGCTGAGATGTTCTATCAATAACAATCAGAAAACAGTGGAATGCAAGTGTTTCCCACTTAAGTGTAAATACAGCTTTAGGCATCAGAGGTAGGACAGTGGACAATGTATAGTGTTAAGCAGATTCAGCTTGTAAAACAATATATAAAGCTTTAGGCATTTCACAGCATTGGCATGTCACACTGTTCAATGCATCATCTAAAATGTAAGATGGTAACTCACCTTTACTAACAACATGAGCAAAGAGAGCATCAATAAGTCGTTGATGCTACCCACTGAGAAAAAGAAGGTGCCACTGCTTAGATTATGAGATTCTGTTGACACCTTACATCTCAAACACTCCCTAAATGTGATCTACACTGAAAAAAGGGACTTTTTGTCCTGTAAATATTACCTCGGTTTTTATGTAAATTTAATGCAAATTGCCATGTAATTGCCTTTACTTCAAAATGACACCTTTTATTTAATGTGTTACTTAGAATTAATTTGAAAAATTATATCCTTTAAAAGACAAGTACATATAATTCATCTTAACAATAGTATTAACAAAACGATTCAAAATAAGTTCCCAACTTAACCAGATCCAAATAATATGTAATTTGATATTAGTAGAAAATTTGATGCTTTTTTCCTACCCTGGCCATGTTTAGGTTAGAAATATAAAATATTGTTTCCTTGTTGGTGCAGTTTGTAGCACTGTTGCCTTGGAGCAAGAAGGTTCTGTGTTCGGTCCCCAGTAAACGACCTATCTGCATGAAGTTTGCACGGTTTGTCTCTGTGCCTTTCTTTGTAAAATTTATAAAAAAAATTTGCAAACAATTCATCTTAGAATTTATACGTGGAAAAAGTTACCTAGCTTTTTCTAGGTAAATTGTACCTCACATTTTTTTTCCGCGTACATGGAAGAATGAAATAGCTATTGATCTAAAAAAACAAAACAGCTCTTGACATTTTAAAGGCTGTTATTGTCAGAATACTGATGCTGCCCTATAAGCCAGAACACACATGGCTTCTGGCTTAACCACCGTGCCAATGATAAAACATGGTGGTGATAGGATCATTATATGGGGATTGATTTCTCCAGTTGGTAGAGATTTACCTTCCAGAAGGATAACCACCCTAATGAGAAACAGCAGGAGCTAAAATAGAAAGGTTTAGATCAAAATATATCCAGTTGTTAGAATGGCCTATTAAAAGTCTAGACTTAAATCTATGCATGAATCTGTGATGAAACTTGAAAAATTAATGCCAACAGATGCTTGCCACCTGATCTGAGTTTGAACTGTGGTGCAAAAAATAAGCAAATGTTTTATTAAAATACATAAAGGAATGTCCTTTACAACTTTAGTTGTAGTTTAGCTGTTTATTTTTGCCAATGAACCTTCAGTGTGTTTAGCTTTCAAAACAGTCTAAGGAGGGCACTGTTTGAGGCCAAAGTCTAAGACCCCGGATGGATCGGCACACAACACAACCAGCTGTCTCTGGCTCCTTCAGCTGCTTCTCTCTGTGACACTTGGTGCCTTTGGGTCTGCTGGTCACCATCCCCTCAGGTCAAGGAAAAGCAGGGATGGTAGTTTTTTCTTTGTGACCACCCAGATCTGATTATAAATCCTTAATTGTCACTGATTTCTTTGACTTGCGTACTCAGATATAAATACACACTATAAACAGTCTGTGGACCACATCCTTTGCCCACAAACTGCCACTGAAAGTCAAACAGCAAAGAATGTTGTAGAAAGGGTTTGTATTCAAATGCTCTCTTATGGCTGACTGGATCCCTGCCAGTATGTATTTTCCTATAGCTGTGTTATACGCTGCTGGAAAGTTGGTTTGCAAGCAAAGTTGGTTCTGCTTGGATGTTTGTGTAGCAGCAAATGCAGTTCATACAGTATTCATTGAGGAGACAGAAATAGGTTGTGCCCCAAGGAAAAGTTTAAAAGAGAATATCATAAAGCAAAAGTGTGGGAAAAAGAAGATACTCGCAGTCTAGCACAGAAACGCTGTTGGAACACAGCTTAGAAGTAGAGCTCTTAGGAACTTTCAGCCATTTTCTTTATAACCTGAGTTTTCAGCCATTTTTTTTAACTTTCTATTCATTTCAGAAAAGGGAAAAAAAAGCAACACTAATTGATTTTCAATATGTTTATGACTCTAGCAATGAAGTCATTGTTGAGTTGTATAAGAAGTTTATTACTTTCAGCCTGTGTTTCATATACAGGTTTTATTCCTCGATTGCTTAGAGCAAATCTGTGTTGACATTGATGTTTCGTTTCCCCCTGTTGTCCCTATTATCCGTCTATATTTGCTTTCACAAATGCAGTCTGTCTACACAACATATGCCTGTTTATTTGTTCGTACATGTGTCTCATGTGGTGGAGATCTTGTAAACTTCTCAACATGCTCATCTTAATAGACACCAGGCTGTTGAAATTTAAAATCTTTGCACAAAGCTGAAGGGCTCTTGTTGATACAGTGCAGTTTTTTTCTGGTGCTCTGTCTACACTTAAGCTGCCCTTTCTCTTTAAGAAAGACAAAATAAATCTTTATTTGTCACTCTTCTACCAAATAAGAACTTGAGTGACCGGCTCTCTAAGGAGCTTGGGTAAATCACAAGAGGCCTCCTACTTTAATAGTGGGATAAGCAAGTGTGATTGTGAGATTTTAGAGATAGCCGTTTTGATGATTAGACTTTAATTTGCTTTACCTGGATGGACGATGTTATCATTGGCTCTCTGCAAGACTTGAGGCTTCTTTCTGCTTTATTATTTTCAAAGAGCAGATGGTGCTTCATCTCGAGCCCACTCTGTTGCCTTGGATTACAGCTCAGCTGAACTGTGTTTGCTTCTGTGGATATTGAACTGGATTTGGACTCGGAACTTCCCCTGGATTCCCCCTTGGATACCTCTGCTGGATTTACGGACTCCCCCCTCGTCAAGACCCGGACCGAACCTAGGATTTCCCCAGCACGGACTCTCTCCTCTCCTGAAACCGGACTGAGCCCAACCGAGCCTTCTTGTAGCCAGGAGCTGCCTGTCGCTGAGCCTGATCGTTCTTCCCGGGAGTCCGTGCCGCCCTCTCTCTTAAATAAAGACTGTTAACGTTTCACTGACCTGTTTGCGGGTTGTCTTTGGGTCCATCCATCTCCACTACAGTAATCCATTACAGTACGTTCTGGCCAAAAGAATGGAAAACATGGACCCGGCACCCGGGGATCAGTGGCGCGCGGGGGTAGAAAAGTCTATTTCTGACTTAGAAGCCGGCGTTTCGGAGATCCTCAATCATCTCCGAAACCAGGCTACCCCACAGCCTCCACTTCCGCAAGCAGCTCCTCCGAGTCCCCCGTCACTTCCGGTGACGTCATTTCCGTCAGAGCCCCGTCTCTCTCCGCCTGGGCTTTTTAGTGGCGATCCGGAGCATTGTCGGGCTTTTCTCACACAGTGTGAGATACATTTCGAGCTGCAGCCATCCTCCTTCCCCACTGACCGGTCTAGGGTCGCCTATGTTATTTCCCTGTTGGCTGGTAAAGCCAGACTGTGGGGAACCTCCGAGTGGCAGAATGATACACACATCTGCCACTCGTATGATGACTTCTCCAAAGAGCTTGTGAGGGTGTTCAGTCCCGTGCTCCCCTGCCGGGAGTCCTCTAGGGGGCTCTTATCTCTTAGACAGGGGGATAGATCAGTGGCTGATTATATTATTGATTTCCATTTACTGGCTGCAGAGAGTTTATGGAATGAATATGCCCTCATGGATGTTTTTATTCATGGTCTTAATGACAAGATTAAGGATGAGCTGGCCACCCGGGATTACCCTAAGACCCTAAGTCAGCTCGAGGAGCTTGCCACTAGGGTAGACCTCCGTCTAATGGAGCGAAGAAGGGAACGTCGCTCTAACCCCACAACCCATCCTCGGTTCTCGGCTCCCCCCCTGTTTCTTCTCCGGTTTCTCTTAAGCCCTCTGAACCTGAACCTATGCAGCTGGGCAAGGTGGGCCTGTCAAGAGATGAGTACCAGCGCAGACAGCAGCAGGGACTCTGTCTCTATTGCGGGGGGGATGGCCATCGAGCTCGGTCTTGTCCAGCAAAAGACAAAGCTCAGTAGGGGGTGGGGGATCCCTACTGAGCTACACCAAACTGGCCGTCTCCTCTGACCATTTACTTCCAGCCACTCTAACCTTCTCCTCTGAATCCCATAGTTTGTCAGTTTTCATCGACTCAGGAGCCGACACTGAGTTCATGGATGAAGGTTTGGCCAGAGGAT